GACACATACAAGGTATCCTCTGAAGCATTCAATGACAAAAAATTAAAGATGACACATACAAGGTATCCTCTGAGGCATTAAATGACAAAAAATTACAGATGACACAAACTAGATATCCTCTGAAGCATTTAATGACAAAAATGACAAAGTTCCACATACCAGAGAACAGAAAGAAAATAATAATTCTCTAATTTTTTCACATTTCCAAACCGATTGTGAAAAAAATTGTTCTCCTCACTAGTGAAATAACTGTTCTCGGCAAACAATTGGTCAAAATTTCAATTGTGACGTCAGATTTCTTGATTTCTTCTGAATTTCCTATTGTAACGTCATTAAATCAAAGCACCAAAGGCACTATAGGCAGTTAATTAAAAAAAATCAAAGGTAAACTTGGCAGAAGTTAAGATGAATATAGTGGAAGAATGGATGAAAATATTTTTCTCTAATTCTTCGTCAATTTATCCCTTTCTGCACCCATTGTATAAAAAAAATTTAATCAACGTGTGATTCGTTTGATCTCAGTTCTTCAATTATGGTTAAAATCCGATTATGGCGTCGAATTTACTTGCTTTCCTCTAAATTTCCTATTGTGACGGCATGAAAAAAGGCGACCATGCCTGATGACATCACATAGAAAGAACACATCTTTTTACAGATCATTCGAAAAGACGGAATAAGTTTGCCTGCATATTGTTTGAAAATCATTAGAGAAACAGATTCCACCACCAAATCTCGTGTAATACGATATTTATCCACTCTCGACAGTTAAATTTTAAATATTTAAAACGCTCGGCGAGCCTCGCGTTTTAAATTTGAAAATTTAACTGTCTCGAGTGGATAAATATCGTATCACACTCGATGCAGTGGTAGAATCTATATATCTCAGCTATTTCTCAAGTATCAAATAATGTTTGTACCGTAATGTTTCTGCTATCCAATCCTACCACTTTCAAAAGTTATTTCCAATTTATTTTTTAAAGATTTAATGTCTGAGATTATGCACATACACTGTCCCATGTTAGGGGAGAGTTTTGTGCCAGCTAACATGTTTAACCCGCCACATTCTGTATGTACCTGTCCATAGTGAGGACCCAGTAATTTGGTGATTGTTGATTGTTGCTGTATATTATATTTATTTTTCATAATTGTTTTGTACATAAATCAGGCTGCTTTAGTTTTATTGTTTTACATTTGTCATTTCGTGGTCGTTTATATCTTACTATGCAGTATTGGTTTTGCTAATTGTTGCAGGCTGCATGGAGGAATATTCTTTTCAGAATAATAATTTCAATTATGGTGTCCAACAGTGGTGTATGGTTTAATTCCACTATGTACTAGAGTTTGAATATGCCATATTAGCGCTTTTAGTTGGATCAGCTGGTGCCACTATGCACAATTATCAAATCATACCTGAAACTATCTGAAATGGTGTAATTTTCTTGTATACTAGTATTACAAGAAATGCTGATGTTGTTATAATGGCCTAGCAATGATGCAACATATATTTTTGAAGGCTGTACGGTTGCCTGTAATTGCTTACATCCACTTCATTTGAATTTTGGTGGATAGTTGTCTCATTGGCAATCATACCACATCTCCTTATTTTTATAATAATTACACATGTCTAATCTATAACAAGCTATTAACACAACGTAATGTTTTGCCTATTTGTTATTTTGATAATGCAAATGTTACACTTAAAATAGTAATACTTTAACATATAAGTGATATTCAAAGTCAATGAACAATGACTGAAGGTACAAGGCTAAACAATCTCTATGGAAATGAAAGGTGCCAATGCTTGTTCAACTGCAAACCAAATACCATTGACTTTTCATAAGTCGTTCCCTTTAAACAAACCTTAACACAAATTCAATTTCTAAGTCAATAAACCATAATGAGGGGGTGAGGTTATATAATATCCATGGAAATGAAACTTTTGAATACCAATACGTTCACATATCAAATAGCTTTGACTTAAGATTACTGGTAATTTTAAACTGACATAATCATAATAATCACAAACTCATTCATGTAAACTATGTAAAAGTTTCAAAGTCAATAGATCATGCATATGACTGAGGGGTGAGGACCAAATATCCTCTATGGAAATGAGACGTACTAATGCTTCTACACCTACATGCCAATTATCATTGACCTACCACTATTGGTTTCCCTAATACTAACCTAATCGAAAACTAATAAATGAAATTTCAAAGTAACAAAATTTTCAAGTAAAAAGAGCATGATTGAGGGGACGGGGCCAAATAATCTCAATGGAAATTAGAAATGAAAAAGTTTATACAACTGCACACCAAATATCATTGACCTACCACTAGTGGTTCCCCCTAAACTGACCTAACCACAAACATATACATGTAAACTATGCAAAGTTTCAAAGTCAATAGACCATGACTAAGGGGGTGGGGCCAAATATTCTCTATGGTAATGAGATGTGCCTATGCTAACACAACTACTTACAAAATGTCATTGACCTACCAGAAACCAGACCTTATCACAAAATCACAAACTAATACATTGTTGATTCCGCCAAAACAGCATGCCTATATATATATATATATATATATGTCTCACTTTTTGACTCTGTTTTATGTCCAAAAGTAAATTCTACTTGGAATTGCAATGCACGTCAAAATCGCTTTACTGTGAATGCAGGGGTTAAAATTAACATTTGGTACTGGACAGTCCAGGACCTTTGACACTCCAAACTGAAAGGTCCACAACCTAAATTCCAGGTCCTGCTTTTACTTGAAATAGTTCATAACTCAGTAAGATACTTTAATGTGCTTTTGGTAATAAGTTAGCTTGTTTCATTGTCAGTGTCACTGTCGTTTAACATGTTTAATAATAAATGTAATTGTCTTGTATATTAATTCATGAATTCAAATAATCTTTTTTTTGTATTAGGAAGGCTGAGGGAGGCTGAGGGTATCACTGTGGGTGGGTGTGTTGTCTCAACAATTGATTATTTATTACTAATTATACCATTATATTAAACAGTTCAAATTCAAAACTGTTTAAGTGTATCATATCTAGTTGCACTATATATTATATTAGCTAGTTCCTATGTGAAAATAAAGTAAGAAACTTCCAGATTTTTATAGGCCCTTCAAAATTGAGAAGAAATTACCTCATGGAATTGTAGTAATATGTTTAAACAATAAAAACATCTACATGTAATATCAATATTTATTAATGATAAGGAAAATACTGTCACATTTTATTGGTTTTTGACATGAAAATTTGTGAACTAAAAGTAATTTTGAGTTTCTGTATAAAATATTTCCTGCTTTTTCTTTCTTTTCAATATATCTTTGGTTTTCAATTCTAGAGTTTATATTTCATCATGATAGATGTATTTTGTCTCATGCCTGGAATTATTATATTTTTATTGTATTTGATCGGCAAACCCGGAATTACCCTTATCCGCCCCCGGAATTAGATCCGGTATTATAATTGTCTTCATTTCCGGTTTATGGCATCCATTGTTTTTCAATGTTGTTTTTGTCAGTCAGATACGATTTACTCGGATTTACACATAACATGTTGGCGATTTTCGGTATAAAGCTAGCGGTTGAACAAAATGATTATTATCAGAAATCACCAAATTTAAAACGTCCTTGATTTACGTTTTGTCGACGAAGTTAAAATTACCGCCAACTGAGACTTCAACTCCGTGTCATATTAGTCACAGCCGTTATACAATATTCCTGCGCTTTGTGCCATTTGGCAACTGTAAACGACTTGTAATTAGAGATTTTCGGCGATGAAATAATTCATGCAATTGTTCTTTGACATCTTGGTCAAAAGCACAGGGGATAATAAACTACATAAGGATTTCTATTGAGCACTACTTCCTATGTGCAACTTCAAAACTTTTGGGTGGTTCGACGATCATTTAAGGTTTTTCTGGTCATATTTTTTGTATTCCAGAATTAAAAGTATGAAAAAAGTGTTCAATTAGTTATAAATAACATAATAGCCAGCCAGATAATAACAATGGCACATATTTCAGCATTTATTGGGTAGAACACAAATCTAGGGTGCTTGCATAAAGCAGCTTAACTGCTTAAAAAGGCAACAATGCCTGATGATGTCACATATAAAGAACACAACTTTCTGCAAATCTTTGAAAAGGAAAGATAAACTTGTTTAGATATTATCATAAAATGATCAGAAAATAGATTCAGCAAGCCTCACGTTGTAAATTTTAGAATTTAACTGTCTCGAGTGGATAAATATCGTAATACACTTGATGCAGTGGTGGAATCTATATTTCTCTCAAAAAAAGGAAAGGCACATCTTCTATATATGTGCAATCCCTGTAAAAAGTTTTTATTTTAAATGAGTTACAAATGACACAAACTAGCTTCCTTCAATAGTATTCAATTACAAAAATGGCTAAGTTCCACAAATGGGAGACCTGAGAAAAAAAATCAAATCTGTCAGAATTAGATGGTGCACATCTGCAGTCTACATGTGATCATTGTTGAAAGTTCAAAGTTTCAATAATGTTGAAGGGAAACTATTGGAACAACACATATAAACTAGCAAGTTTATAAGAATTTATTGACAAAAATTACTTATGTTCCACACATTAATTATAGACTTATCACTGGGTTTGTACTTACATGAGCAACACGATGGGTGTCACATGTGGAGCAGGATCTGCTTATCCTTCAGGAGCACCTGAGATCACCCCGTTTCTTGGTGGGGTTAGTGCTGCTCAGTCTTTAGTTTTCTATGTTGTGTTTTGATTACTGATGTTTGTCTTTTTGTCTTTTTCTTTTTTTGACATGGCGTTGTCAGTTTGTTTTCGATTTATGAGTTTGAATGTCCCTTTAGTATCTTTGCCTCTCTTTTAAGAACGTGGGATCAAATAATTAATTATAGTTTGAAAATGATTAATAATTGTTGTTATGTTACAAGTTTTAACTTGTAAGCTTCATGCAGGTAGGAGATTCACACATAACAACAAATGTATAAAATAGTTTAATGTGTGTCTTTTGTACATTTATGAATTAAAACATGATAAAATGACATGAGCAAATTGTACTTTTGGTAAGAAGATAAATACAACATTCATTTCTGTATATGTGATCAGTATTTGCTATGAGAGTGATTTCATTCCTGAGTTATAAGTTTCCATGCATTTTGTGGTGAATATAAACTAATTTTTTTTTACATCTATGGAATGCACTTTTTCAGCCAACTTGTCTGAAACCACAAATTCAAAATTAAACAAACAAATGATCTTTTAATAATCAAACACATAAGAATTTATGAACTTAATTCCTCTCATACTGTCAGACTCAGCTGACAATAAATTTTCCTGGATATTTTTTTATAGGTCATTCATTACTCAAAGTATTAGTGGACTCACTTTTGATGAAAGAAGTTTTTTAGATGTTTGATTATTTAGAAATTTGTTGTAGTTAAAAATAAAAATTAAACTCTAAGTGTCTGTAAGTGTAATTTTTTTATTATCTCTCCTTTTATTTTATATTTTTATGTTAATAACATAAAACCTTGTTTTTTAGAATAACAATTCCTAAAATCCCTAATGTAATAGCTTAGTTAATGATCAATAATTTGAAAATTGAATATGTGATAGTTTGGTATCTAAATGAACAGTTTAAAAGTCAAACTGAATGATTGTAAAATATCCTGTAGAAATTTCTAATATTTCTTTAATAAATAAATAAATATTTCACACAATTTTCAGTAAAAAAAAAATTAAAAAAAACAATTGATGTAATTTACCAATCATTTTTCTTATAAATATACTGTGGATTCATTATTATTTGTTGGATACTAGTGACAGGTGAACCATGAAATTAAATGTTCAACGAATGACAAATTTTCTATAGGCTTGTATGCAGACTTCGGCAAAACCACAAATTGAAATGTCCATGAACATGTAAGTTTTCCTTAATCCACGAAATTTGGTACCCACGAAAAAAATAAATGAATCCACAGTATTATTTTACCACCTTCAATATTTATATTGAAATAAAATATTTCTTAATAAATTTAAGGAAGAATAAAAGGAGAGGTAGGGTCAATGAGATAGCAACCAAACCCATCTCAGTAGTTGACTAAATTAAACATCTAAAGTTGACTTAAATTTTCCTTTATCATAGTTTAGGGAAGCATTTTTTTAATGTTTAATTACACTTTTAACACTTTAAAAATATCAATTTAACACAAAACCATACACAAGTATTGAAAATCTCCCTCTCTCTCTCTCTCAATCAGCTTATGTTTATTTATGTAATCAAATGTACATCCTCTTTGGTTGTAAGTCATAAAAATTCTGTAATCAGACTAAGCTGAGATTTATTTCCAAGCCATAACAGGTCTTTTTATCCTTATCATCAATGTAAAACTGAATTCAAAGGTTCAGCCTTAATGTCATTAAAATCTAATCTCTGATCAGCTTCATCATCTATTTCTCCTATCAAAGCTCTACAAAATAAAACAAGCAATTTTATTATTCAAATATTGTAAATCAACTTATTTTCTGTGTAACTTATTTTCATGAGTTGAAAAATAAAGTGAATGTAAGTATTCGCAAATATGTAAACTTGGGTTTTCCCTTATATAAATATGTCAAGATAATAAGAAAATTGCGAAAATAAATCACTGCAAAGTTGTCTACAAATTTCTAACCCAGAAAGTATTCGCAAAAAAAAAGTTGGTTTACAGTACAATTACATGTATTTTTTTAATCAAATTCATGAAAACCACTTGCAAATTATAACGATATTATACTTATTACAATCAAAATATGTAACAAAGTCAAAATATACATTTATGGGTCCTACATTTTGATTTTAAATTAAGCCTTACAAAGGTTTTGTCTACTCTGAAATCCTAAAGTTTTGTAAGGCTACATTCTTTCAAGGTCCATGTCACCCTATATAGTACTAAAAATTCAGAATTATTGCATGCCCTTAATTATTGTGATTTTTGTAGAATGAACAAATTGCGAAATTAATTATTGCAATTTTAGGAAAAGCTACATCTAGATATATGTATCAAGTATAACTGTATAAGAATGCGAGTTCTTATTATTGAGATACTAAAGGAGTCACATTATTCCCATTAATAAAAATCTTGCAATAATTTATGAATTTACAGTAAACCAAATTATATTTTGGCATCTTTACCAAAAAAAATCGATTACATTTTGGTATGTGGAATCATTGCACTTTGTGTCAATACTGTATTTTAATTTTAGCAAAATTTAATTCATTTTTCTAAAAGTGGTTGGCAATAGGTTGATAGAGATTTTAAAAATATTGCCTTAGAGACCTCTAAAATCACAAATAAACAAAGTCTTGTTTTCCATTGTATTCCTGCAAGATATTTTTAAACTGATTCATTTAATTTTAGATATTCAAATAGTGAAGATAAATATACCAAGACCAAGAACTACAAAGTAGGGTAATACTTCTTTCAGATATGTCACAATAAGATTTTGGTACCCCACTGCCAAATGATTATGATGATGCTGGATATATGGCTTCTTTGACCAGTTTATAATTTAAATCTCTAGCTGGGATGGTGAACAATAATGATTTTGCAGTACTTGATAGTATCAAATAGTATTGCCACATGTGTCATGCCTGAATTTGATTTTTGTAGATCTGCCTTTAGCTAAATATATTTCTAAATGCTTAAATATGTCCTTTTTGCTATTGTTGTGGATTTTTACAAAATTAACTAATATATTGTTTTCCCATAAAAACAATGGCCAAAGTTGAGTAGATACAAATATTTGCTAAAAGGAAGGGAGAAATAAACCTATTAAAATATCTTCTCAGGTTCCGAATAAAAGTCCTAAGCAGCTTACCACAGGCTGATAGATATGTTACCAACATTAAAGTTGTTAAGTTTTACAATCAATCAAAGAAGGTCTCAAGTATTTTTAGCACTATAACATATATGAATAATGAATTACCTCCCTTTGTAAACTGTAATTTACTTACACATTATCTCCCCTGATGATGTATAGTCCCAGAATGACTTGTTCTACTCCTTGTGTAGCACTATATACCCTCTCATGGCTCTCATCTAGAATCAAATTGATTGTTTGATCAAATCCTTTCAATGTTCCCTGAAATAATAAATAAATTAATATATAATTCTACAGTAGAACTACAAATATATATTAATTTAATATTTTTTTTTTAGTAGTACTAAAAAAATGTTAAAACATCTAACCAGTACATCTGCTGAATTTTCCAATACTGACGATCATTTTTGTTATTCTTTTTATGTACATTGTATTTTCTACCCAAAGAAATTAATAACAACTAAAATATTTACAAGGTAAATGAATTTGTCATATTAAATTTTCAACATGGGAACAGAGGTAACTTTGATATATTATAGATAAACTGGTGAAACAGAGATATGTCTCGCCTGTATGTAATGTGATAGTAAAATGCAAATGTTGAAATTAAAACAGCAATAATTTAGCATGCAAAATATTCAAAGTCAATAAACCATGACTGAAGGTATAGGGCCAAATAATTTCTGTGGAAATAAGACATGCCAATACTAATATAGCTACATACCAAATATCCCCGACTCATCATAAGTGATTCCCCATAATCTGACCTACATGTATTTCAAAGTCAATAGACAATGACAGAGGGGAAAGGGATTAAATATCTCTATGGAAATGAGATGTGCCAATTCTTATACCAATGCATAAGAAATAAATCATATGTAAACTGATCAAATCACAAACTTTAACACTGATCGTTGTGAACTTAGAATTTTTTTTTCAGGTAAGTAATTTTCAAATGTATTCAACTGAAGTTACACATAAGTAAACAGATTTCAAGAATTTACCAGTGTGACTTAAAGAATTATTTTAAAAGTTGGCTTTTAACAATAAGATATGTACCATGAATTTCTTTTGTTTTTCTCTGCCATGTTACATACATGTATCAATTATATTAAGACTAGTACTTACCACAATTATTCTTCCATCTGCTGTAACTATAGAAACTGTACCTTGTATTATGTTAAGGAATTTTAATAAACCAGTGAAATTAGCTTATATTGCATACATGTATTACTATCAAAAAATAAACTGCTTCGCTGAGCGCAGCTGGATACGCCCGCAGAGGTCCAACCCTGAACAGTTGGGGCAAAAATGGACACAATATTCACGCTTGATACAGGTCTGAATTTGGATTGTAATTAAATATTTGACACATACCGTTAAAAGGCTTGTATAGTCCACGGTTTTATTCTCCAAAATTGACCCTGACAGCAGGGGTGCGAACTATAGAGTACAATAAGCAAGAAATAAGAGAGAAAATTTCAATTTCGCGATGTGGTTTGTTTACGTTCCGCCATTGTTGATGCCAAAACTCGGACCTGAACGGAGAAATGAAAAGACTTGAACGGACCTGAAATTCTACGATCAGACTTATTCAAACTTCAATAATGGTTTTATTTTTCAATGGATTTCCTTCAATTTTAGATTTTGTGAAACGAAAAATTCAATATATTAATAATATTTGAAAAGAAATTTTGAAAAATATTTTTGAGGTGTCAAAATTCGGACCTGAAGGGGAAATTAAATTACCTGAATTGACCTGAAAATCTCCGGTCAGATTCATTCAAGTTCTATAACTGTTTTAGTTTTCAATCAATCTCCTTGAAATTTGAATTTTGTAAAAGAAATGTCTTTCTTTTTCTTTTATTGTCCCATACAAGTATATATATTGTTTAGGGGATTGGGATCGCAATGGTTTACAAGATAAAAGTACATTTTCAAATTGAAGGGGGGTTGGGATGACCCCCAGGGACTCACCCTATATTTTGGTTGATTTTTTTTATTGTCCTGTTCTCATTACTGAAGACTGCATGTGTCTATCACTTACTGTTTTCGAGAAATAGTCATTTGAAAATTTAAAAAAATAAAATCCCATAGGGTTCTACATGTATAGTAAACCCCTCCCTTCTTCAGGCCCCTCCAAATACCCCTAAATAGACCCCAATTCACAAACAAAAGATTAATGGCTCCGCTAGACATGTTAGTCTAATATTTTATGAAACCCTAAGTAAATTTGACAAAAGTTGTCTTCTTGACGGTTTGAGTGGATTCGGTCTGACTTGTCTCGGGGACGAGTTGTCCATATTACTTAAAACATCCCATCAATGTCGATTTCCCCATCTGTTTCATGACCTGGTTTCATTCATAAAATAACAACAACCTTATTTAGCAAGATAAGTTAAAAATTACCGCCCACTTAAATAACTTTATTTCCCCTATCATAGAGATTTGTTGTACATGAACAATATTCCTGAGCATTTTGCCATTTGGGAAATATAAACGACTTGTAATTACTGATTTTCGGCGATGAAATATTTCATACAATTGTTCTTTGACATTGTAGCCAAAAGCACAGGGGATAATTAACTACGTACGGATTTCTATTGAGCACTATTTCCTATGTGCAACTTCAAAAGTTTTGGGTAGTTCGACGATCATTTAAGGTTTTTCTGGTCAAATTTTTTGTATTCCAGAAATAACAGTATTAAAAAAATGTCCAATTAGTTATAAATAACATAATAGCCAGCTAGATAATAACAATGGCACGTATTTCAGCATTTATTGGGTAGAACACGAATCTAGGGTGCTCGCATAAGGCAGCTTAACTGCCTAAAAAAAGAAGATGTGGTATGATTGCCAATGAGACAACTCTCACAAGAGACCAAACGACAGGTCACCGTACGGCTTTCAAGAATGTATTTTCAGGTTTATTCATGTCTTTCAATTATCTTTCAGGTCCAAGTCTTGTCACCAAAATAATATTTGTCATTAATTTTTTTTTTTCGTTTTGATAAAATATTCAATTTGTACTATAATAAAATCTTGATTTCACGGAAATTCTTTCATAAAAAAGAAAATGAAGTTTCAAAAAATATATATAAGTGGAATTTTAGGTCAATTCAGGTATTTAATTCTCCATTCAGGTCACAGTTTTGGCACCCATAAGATATTTTTCATTATCTAATTTTTCATTTTAACAAAATGTTGAATTTTCATTTTACAAAATCTAAAGTTGAAGGAAATCCATTGAATATTTAAAAAGTTATTGGAGTTTGAATAAGTCCGACCATAGATTTTCAGGTCCGTCCAGGTCTTTTCATATCTTCGTTCAGGTCCAGGGTTTGGAATCAAAAATTTGTTTGTTATTCGTAGGAAGGCGTCACAGAAAAAAATTAAAATAGCCTTGCAAGACGTCATAATTATTTGGACTAGTCTTTAGTTTAACCCGAGTTTTTCTGGTATTCTGTACGAGTGTTTTGTTGTAGTCTGTGGACGATAGATGCACGGATTTAAAACGACTGTGTCCTCCTTAATCACAGGCACTTGTTTCTATCAATTGGAAGGTCGCCTATCATTGTATAATAGATTGATAGTCGATCTTCCCACTAAACAAGTGCCTGTGTCGGCTGGTCGGTGGTCCTCTTTCACAACAATTGTCCATAATTGAAATGGACAGTCAGGGAATACAAGTTATAAGGTATATATAGACGAGAAAGATTACAAAAATAAAGACAAATGTGAGGAACATCCCATTAAAACAAAGCACAGTGTAAGGATACGATTCACATACGATTCCAATGCTGAAGCCATTTTCAAAGATTTAAGATAAATCAAGATGTGTTCCGATCGAAGATTATTCTTTTCGCGCGTACATCGGACCAGCTATGGGAAATATTCCGTGTTTCAATTTTATTTGCTTTACACTGCAGTGATAGTTTATTTTTCAGTTTGAAATTTGACCTGAGGTACATTTGTTGTTATCTTTATAGCTCATTCGTGTTTCATTATTGAGAAACTCAATTACCACAAAGGTTGAGTAAAACCATTTATCCTACCTATAGTAAAGTGTTCATTTGTGACAATTCGGCCTTTGAAATGTCGTTCCTTTTTTTATTGACATTGAACTAATCAAATAGTATGACCTCAGGTGATATTATAATTGAACTTACTGATATTATCCTCTTTTTAAATTATTATTATTATTATTATTATTATTATTATTATTATTATTATTATTATTATTATTATTATTATTATTATATACAAAAGTACTCAAATTGACAGCAAATCGGGTTTTCTGTATTTTGAAGGCACTTACATACTTGTTTAAATTGCCATGTTATGTACCTACATATTTTTTTAATATATCAAGGAACATAACTCCTGAACGGCAACAGTGAAAATCATTGACCATCATTTTCGATAAAAGTGAAATTCGTCTTTATCAAGCCTTTGTCTCCATTTTATAATTATTAACAACATACTAAAATTTGAAAAGCATAGTTGAACGGTTCATGAGTTATTACACGGAAACAACATTAAGTGTCATTTTCAAATATATCAAGGACTCAAATTCAAATGTACAGACTAGTTTCATATTACCGAATTTTGACTCCGGAGTATTATTTGACATGTTACAAATGTACGTACTTTATTGTAGGACATTCGGGTACTTGGTCAACTCAGATCAAATAGAATGAGTAAAATCAAACTTACAATCGGGTACGATTTGGGGGAGGGAGATTAATTGTTTTACGATTATTTTGTTGTGTATAGAAAACATAAAACAATTATTTTTTTCCCTAAATTACACCGATTGTTTTACTTCTTATAACCAAGACTTTTCACTTGATTAATAATTATTCCTTATCAGGCTTGTTATATTCATTTCTCACCCATGCTAAGATTATAATTGTTTATGATCTTTTTAGAAACGGTATACCGTTTTCCTCTCAATTTTGTCCCATTCATTACTAAGTATCAATAAGGAAATTTGCTTCTTTTCTTTCGTTGCATTAATTTAGTTTATTTTCTGAAATACTGTCTTACTTAGGTCAAAAGTGTTTCCCCTATCCCATATTCCCATTATTTCATATAAAATCACATGTTTTTAAAACATTGTCAAAAAACATGTGAGGTCCGACTTGGATGAAATTTTTAATGATAAACTCACAAATGTGGACAGGTTTTTTTTATCAGTGGTCATTATGAAATATTTTTCAGTTTATGACGACACATCATTTCTGAGTTGTCATTATTTGTACACAAATATTGAAATTAAGTGCGGCATTGTTTCCTATATATATATAGCTATATGATTTTTCCGTGCAGAAATTCATATTTGTTTTGAAACAGTAATTTCCCTAAAAATATAAATCAAAAATATATTTCATAACTATTGCACTGAAACCCTGCGGACATTTCAGTATTTAATGGCGAAAAATCCTTCAATTTGGACAAGAAATATCTGCAGTAGAATTTTTATTAAAAATGTGTTGTTTTTTTTATGAAATAATAGGGGAATTTTTAAAGTAGGGTGAAACACTTTTGACCTAAGACTGTGCAATACTGAATGGATTCTTTTAAAATAGGTTAACATTAATTTTGACTCAGGAGGATTTATAATTATTTGACAGGTTACCTAGTCTGTTGTAGGACATTCAGGTACTCGATCAACTAAGAGCAAATAGAAAGAGAAAATCAAACTTACAATCGGTACAACTGGGGGGAGGCGGATTAACCATTTTATGATAAATTTGTCGTGAATAGAAAACATAAAACAATGAATGTCTCCCTAAAATGCACCGATTGCACTCAGCGGAAAACCTTATCTGCTTATGGGCATACGATACAGTTTTGATCCCACGGTGTTTTTTTTAACGAAAATTTGCTTACAAGCTATTTTTCACCTAGTCAATTCAAATATGTAAAAAAAATATACCTTCATCTGGGACTATTATACTAATAGTATAATTGTTCCAGCCTTCATGTGCTACTTTAAGAGATAAATGGGGTCGAAAGTTTAGACATTTACTCAAAATTTCGTTTTTTTAGGAAATTTCTATCCTTTGGATAGACATACCTAACTTTTTTGTTTCAAAAGATAAACACAAGCGGATTTTTGTAAAAACATTTGAAAAAGCTTCTTTACATAAGCCGTATGCTCTAAATTTGTATAACAATTCTTTGGAAATAATTCATTTTTATAAAAGTTTCATGATTTTAGGAAAAAAACGTAATTTTTTGCTGTATATCATCTATTCTAAAAAAATTCATCGGTGACTTTTTCATAAAAATTGGTACAAATAATCTTCATACGTCAGTAATCAAGCATTATGTCATTTTAAAAAAGAGGGGTCCATGCCACAGGCACTTGTCTCAGAAAAAAAATTCCTATATACCTTGATATATTAAGGTATAGAAGGAAAAAAAATTCCGAGACAAATGCCTGTGGTCCATGCACTCGTTTACAAGTTAGATCAGCCTAAATGATAAAAATCAGTCGAAAAACGCATCTTTTCCTTAAAGTTATATACACGACGCGAATTAAATAAGTTCTCTTGTTTTTAAACACTGCATAGGCGGATCCAGGGGGGCCTGGGGGCCAGCCCCCCCCCCCTATATAGGGAATCATTGAAGCTTGACTGTAGCGGGCCCCCTCTTATGGCAGTCAGTACGTGGGCACCCCCTTATAAAAAGTTCTGGATCCGTCACAAGTCTGCTATTAAAGGAGCTCGATTAGTGCCCATAGAAATATCTACAACCTGTCTGTAAACTTTATTACCGAAACCAGAGACATGTATACACATATTATTTAATTCTGACAAGAAGAAAACTTACGGCATTCATGATCGCTAACGAGTTTGCCGAGTACGAGACGATAAAGGTACGAGTTGATATAAGTAGAGGAGTTACGAATGCCAGAAATAAAATGAACCCGTTACAGTAATGTTATAAGAAAATGAATGTTCTTGGTAGAAACCTGCTAGCAAACCTTTGTCAGCATTTTAAGGAATCGTTCTCTGTAGTTGAAAGGTATAACAACAACAAGATAACAAGATATTTTATTTCCAATTATGGGCCCCAAAGGGCATAAACATTACAACATCAATATTTTTTTTCATAATACAATACAAACATAATGTTCTATTAAGAGGTCAAAATTTTAAGGAAACTTTTGTGATGTTCAGTATTGGTGGGAAAATAGCGATAAGATATACATGTATTTAAGGATACCCTTTATACTCCATTTCCAATGACTGAATCAAAATTTGCCAGGGATTTCTTTTTATTCTACAGATATCTTCCAAATTGTTTGAAGATGGAATTCCAAAATATTATTTAATGTTAACTTTTGTTCCCATTTTTTTCCATGGAATTTAAAAATAAATATATATGCCTTCTATAGGATGGCCTTGGAATTCCAGAATATTTAATTAATCCATATCAATTTTTCCTTGGAATTCTTTTCATTTTCTGTATGCCTTCTATAGGGCTAATATGGAATTCCAGAATTATTTTCTTCTTCATATCTTAAAATTTCCATGGATTTTTTTCTGAACCAGCTGTACCTTCTATAGGGGGGGTATGGATTATTTCTGGAATAGCCCATTGAGATAAATAAAAAAAAAAAGAAAGTTTAACGAGAACTATTTAAGTTCTTAAAGAATACGTAGATAAAGAATCTATCGTATGTTTTTTTTTAATACTAATGCATTTTATTGCAAGTGTGGTTAATATAGATAACAAACAAGCAGCCCAAAATGGCAAAAAGAAAAATAGATATCCATATATGTATGGTATCGGGTCCGTTCGCGCCCAATACACGTTCGCACCCCACACGTTTGCCCCCTAGGTCCGTTCGCATCCTACACGTTCGCACCCTTTTTTTTTATTCAAAAACCTGATAAATTTTTAGATGTTTATATCAAAATATTTTTATTTTCATAAATAAAAATTCGGGAATTTTTAAATGAAATATAGTTTTAAATTGATTTGATGATTAATTATTAAATGTTAATTATGTATGATTACTGCTAATTGGTATTTATTCACAGCCTAATTTTGTGTTATTGTTGAGTGTTTGAAAATCATGATTGTTGTCATGGTTGTTTTAACTTGCGTTGATGTAAATACTGCATGTATTTAGCTTGGTATGAGTAAAACTTTGAAGATTTTAAATAAAAAACATGAAAGATAATTGTTTTTAACTGCTTGGCTCCTTTGATCTCATGTGTGTCAGAATCTCACTTTATTCATAAACAATGAAAAAAACTATTTATAGCAATACACTATCCAAACACGATTAAAAATTATTCAACACAAAAATAAAATACTGGTCGTCAGAATCTCACTTTATTTAAAAACAATGAAAAAAAAATGTTTAACTAGACAAAGTGATGCCTGGCACTCCACTCTGAAGTAACTGTATTATAACAGAGTCAGTGTAGGACTTTCTTTGAGATATTATTGTGTCTTGGAAACACAATTTATACCCCCGCTGATGCAAAGTGTTATTTTAAAATACACAAAGTTAAGTATGGGAGCACATAGGTCAAAGGTTCAGATCAAATGGTAGCTCCTTAATCAGCATTGTATGACATCTATTCTTAAGATAAATTTAAAACTAACTTTAACTCACAAGGTTTAATATTTGACATCAAAACCCTGACCACATGAACACCTTCAATATATGTACAAACATCCAACAAAGTGAAAACTTCCTAGCATTCAAACTGTAGGAGTAGTTATCCGGAAACACTCCTCTTATGCAAGTAAATACTCCAAAAAATGACAAAGTTCAGCTATCTCCCAAAAGAGCAAATATTAATAAAAGTCAAAACCCTGACCACATGCACACCTTCAATATATGTACAAACAGCCAGCAAAGTGAAAACTTCCTAGCATTCAAACTGTAGGAGGAGTTATCTGGAAACGCTCCTCTTATGCAAGTAAATACTCTAAAAAATGACAATTGCAAAGTTCAACTATCTCCTAAAAGAGCAAATATTAATAAAAATCAAAACCCTGACCACATGCACACCTTCAATATGCATATATGTACAAACAGACAGCAAATTGAAAACTTCCTAGGACTCAAACTGTAGGAGGAGTTATGCGGAATAACTATATACCTATAATGGGACGGACGGAAGGACTGACATGGGTAAAACAATATGCCCCCCAACTTTTAGTTGCAGGGGCATAAAAATGTCTTAATTTTGATGTATTTTTCTTGCTCTTATTTTGTCATGGAGACTGGAACAATAAATAATGTAGCAATAAAATTTCATCTATTCTCTGTTGGACTGGCCATGGCCAAAATGACTAGTCCCTGAACACACTTTCAAAAATCCTTTAATAGTGAGAACCCTGCTGAAGTTCTGCTTGGATTTGTAGTTTGGGCTAAAATAGAGATATCAATCTGGCTATGTAAACTCAATCTGGTTATAAAAAGTAATCGCCCTCATTCATTCCTGAAGATAGGTCTAGTTCAGTAAACCTGAATGGGTGTGCTTGACTAAGGTTTTTTTATGAGTTAATAATAGCTACTCTTATTTTTTTGGTCACTGAACAAGTTGAATCTGTTGTCATGGTTGTGAGTCCTTTATAATTGATTTTTATACGCCCGTTTACGGGACGTATTATGGTATACCGTTGTCCGTCTGTCCGTCCGTCGTCAACATGTCGGACATTAACTCAAAAACGCTCTAACCAATTTGCATAAAACTTTGGTGAAATCTTTATATCTATTGACATGAGCTCCCTTTCGTTTTTTATTAATTTTAGATTTTACATTTCCAAGCTATGGGGTTTTATTCAGTAAAAAAGGGGGGATTTTCAGGTTTTCAGACAATAACTCAAGAATGCTTTCACCAACTTGCAAAAAATTGTGGTGAATTGTTTATATCTATTGACATGAGCTCCCTTTTGATTTTTATATATTTTAGATTTTACGTTTCCGAGTTACAGGGTTTTATTCATAAAAAAAGGGGGATTTTCCAGTTTTCAGACAAAAAATCAAAAATGCTTTCAGCAGTTCTTATAAAACTTTGGTGAATTGTTTATATCTACTGATGTAAGCTCTGTTTAGAATTTTATAAATTTTACATTTTACATTTCTGAGTTATGGGGTTTTATTCATTAAAAAAGGGGGGATTGTCTGGGGTTTTATTCATTAAAAAAGGGGGGATTTTCCAGTTTTCATATAATAACTCAAAAATGCTGTCAGCAATTTTCATGAAACTTTGGTGAATTGTTTATATCTATTGATATAAGCTCATTCTCATAAATTTCTAATATGACATCGAGAATAAATTGAACTTTAATTGTTTATAGTCTGACTTCAGATTTACTAAGTATTGCGCAACAGCACAGTGTATTACACAACAGCAAGAAATCTTCAATTGAATATAAATTCAATTCATATAACTAATTTCAAGTCCTTTGACTACATTTATTCAGAAACCTATAATATGTCAAATATTTAATACAATCCAAATTCAGACCTGTATCAAGCTTGAATATTGTGTCCATTTTTGCCCGAAATGTTCAGGGTTGGACCTCTGCGGGCATATCCAGCTGCGCTCAGCGAAGCAGTTTATTAACTTTGTTGTTGCTCAAACATTAATATATTGTAGAATTTTACATACTGTAAATAGAGACCTTGTGCACGTCCGCTATCAGCCCAACATAAGTGACTGTTTGATATTTATTTCCTTCAGATATATATTTCTAAATAAATTTTACCAATAGACTATTTTCATATTACTGACTTTTGACTCCGGAGTTTTTATATTTTTTGACAGGTTACCTAATCTTGGGTAGGACATCCTGGTACGTGGTAAAGTAAGAGCAACAAAAAGAAATAAAATCAAGCTTTCAATCCGTAGTGGCCACTACAATTATGGACGAAAATTAACTGTTTTATGTTTTATATACAAGACAAAATAATCGGAAAACAGTTCACTTTCCCCCCAAATTGCACCAATTATTTGTTTGATTTGACCTCTTTTGGTTGCTCTTACCTGACCGAGTACCAGGATGTCCTACCACAGACTAGGCAACCTGTTGAACAATTATATAATCTGGGGTCAAAAGTCAGTAATATGAAAATAGTCTATTAAGAACAATGTATTATCATGATTATAAACCATTGTTACTTGTAAGGCTATTTACATGTATATGTTAGTATCTGAATATTGTAAAGACTGTATGCTCCACTACTTATGATTATGAATTAATCGTGTTAATTGTTCGATACAAAAAGGTATTAATTTTATGATCAGGTGGATTTTGAAGTATTTTTCATAAATATATTGTAATAACTACTCCCATTCAATTCATGTAGTCATGGTAGTATTAAGGAGGGTCTGGATGGGTTTAAAGAAGAGAGAATAATGGCCAAAAAAATTAATGAGTAGACAAAAATGACAAATAACAAATGAATAATAAGAACAAATGTTGGATACTTGTAATTTTATCTGAAAGAAGAAATTCTTAATTCTACAGCTAAACCAACACTGAGGGAATCACCAAAAATGACAGAAAAGAGAAGATTTCACATTCCATCTGCTGCTGAAATTGAAGACGACAAAAAAGATGTTGCAGAAAGCTTCAGGCCAACAAACATTTTCAAGACATACCGTGAACAAAAAAAGAATGATCCTTCAGATGAGATTCAGAATAAGAAACCAAATCTACATGATGTTTCAATTAAGAAAAAGGCTGAAACTGCAGAAGTTTCACCCTGTCAAAATAGTCCTGGGAACCTTCAAACAGTCAAATCCTCAAATTCAGGTTCACGATCTACTACTAGAAATGATCAATTTGTAAAACCTTCAGATTCAAGAAATACTTTCATAAAACCCTCCACATCAAAAGACAATGCCTCAAAAACTAACATATTTGCCAAGAAAGAAGATTTAAAGCCAGGAAATGATTCAGTTGCTAAAACAAATTCAACAGAAGAAAATTTTGATTTGGGAACAAAGGATGCCCCAAAACTTGCAATTCCAGGAAAAACGAGTTCACTCTTAGTTCACCAGAGGCAAAGGGGAAATCCAATTTTGAAGTTTGTACGCAATGTTCCATGGGAATTTGGTGATATAGTTCCAGACTATGTCATGGGGCAGACAACTTGTGCTTTGTTTCTAAGCTTACGTTACCACCAGCTAAATCCAAACTATATACATGACAGATTAAAACAGCTAGGAAGAAGTTATGAGTTGCGAGTGTTGTTGGTGCAAGTTGATATTAAAGAGCCTCAACACTTGCTTAGAGAACTTGCTAAAATATGTATTTTAGCCGACTGTACACTAATTCTAGCATTCTCAACAGAAGAAGCAGGGCGTTATTTGGAGTCTTATAAAGTATATGAAAACAAACCTCCAGATGCCATTATGGAGAAAACAGATCAAAACTTTATGGCTAAAATGACAGATTGTTTGACAAATATAAAATCAGTGAACAAAACTGATGTGGCTACACTGATTTCAACATTTGGATCTTTGAAAGACATAGCAGAAGCAAGTCAGGAAGACTTATCTTTCTGTCCAGGTTTTGGACCACAGAAAGCAAAGAGAGTACATGATTTGTTTAAAGAACCATTTCTACGAGCAAATAAGAATAAGGATCACAAATGAAAAATGAATATTTTTATACAAGATGTCATTTTTTTAGTTTGAAATTTTGAACTCTATCTCATTACCTATGTCAATGTATGTGTTTTCCATAGGTTCAGCAGAAAATCTAACTATTTATGTAAAAATATGAAATCACCATTTAAATTTATGATCGTAGTAAGACACTCTAAGACTAAGCATAATGTAGACTTTCAGGGGGGAAAAAAAGATCTCTGTGTATATGGTGTGTATAATGTAATTTTTTTTCAGAAATTGCGGAGATTTGATTATGAAACATTTACTCTATAAAAATAAATTTCTTTTCCTTTAAATTTTCTTTTTAATAAGAACATGAAGAAGGAAACAATCTCTTGGGCTAATATTTTTATCATAAAGACTTATAGATTTAATTAATAAAAGCAATATTATGTTTTCCATGTATCTCAGTTTGCTTTAATACTGACAAATATCTGATAATTCAGAGAAAATCAACAAAAGTCCAGAAATGGCAGTCAAACTGTTTTGTCGAGTTCTTTACTAATTGGATGTCTAGTAAAATTCATGAAACTTTCAAAATTAGCATTGCAACATTTCATTTTCACAGACATTATATATGGCATAGCCCCCCTCAGTCATGATCTATTAAATTTTTCATAATTTTCACTTAAAGTGTTTTGATTTCAACACATTTGAATTTGACTTATCGAATTTGTATACAGGTGACAACATTTTATTGAGTATGGTATGTGTAAATGAAAGTATGATACTGGCAATAGGTTGAACATTTATAGTAATAGCACATAGTATATCCTTCATTATCCATGTATAAGAGCTTCAAATCCTTACTTCTTGGCAAAACTGACCATGGATAATTGCATACAGTTTAAGTCCTTTGTTTTGAAGCTTTCAAAGTTTTTAGGTATTTTGTTTTCCAAACGTTTGTTTGTGATTGTAGCTGCAGGTTATTCTATAAACATGTAGACTGCACTGAAATATATACCATACATATGTTAGTCATCAGAGTACTTTCTCCCAAATAAACTTGTATGCTTTGTATTGGATAGAGTCAAATGATACATTTTGACATTAAATTGTCAATTTATAAAATCCTGTCATTGTCATGATTGTACTAAAACTGAGTTTGACATAATAGTTTCAGCTTTGATAACATGTTGAGGAAATTCTCGTGTTGATGCTCAGAAATGTTTTATAAACATTGTAAAATTGAGAATGGAAATGGGGAATGTGTCAAAGGGACAACAACCCGACCATAGAACAGACAACAGCAGAAGGTCACCAACAGGTCTTCAATGCAGCGAGAAATTCCCGCACCCGGAGGTGTCCTTCAGCTGGCCCCTAAACAAATATATATACTAGTTCAGTGATAATGAACGCCATACTTAACTCCAAATTGTACACAAGAAACTAAAATTAAAAATAATACAAGACTAACAAAGGCTAGAGGCTCCTGACTTGGGACAGGCGCAAAAATGCGGCGGGGTTAAACATGTTTATGAGATCTCAACCCTCCCCCTATACCTCTAGCCAATGTAGAAAAGTAAACGCATAACAATACGCACATTAAAATTCAGTTCAAGAGAAGTCCGAGTCTGATGTCAGAAGATGTAACCAAAGAAAATAAACAAAATGACAATAATACATAAATAACAACAGACTACTAGCAGTTAACTGCAGTTGTGTCTTGCTTGCAAAACTCTTAAGCGTTACTCCGGAAACATGCAGTGCACACTGAAATTGGTACTAAAAATGTATGATAATTTGAAAAGAGCTTAAAATCTGAATTAAGTACATTTTTAAAAAAGCTCACCTGGCCCAAAGGGCCAAGTGAGCTTTTCTCATCACTTGGCTTCCATTGTTCATCGTCTTCGTATGTTAACTTTTACAAAAATCTTCTCTGAAATTACTGGACCAAATTTAACCAAACTTGGCCACAATCATCATTGGGGTATCTAGTTTATAAAATGTGTCTGATGACCCGGCATGCCAACCAAGATGACCGACATGGCAAAAAATAGAACATAGGGGAAAAATGCAAGTTATGTCTATTATTTTGAAAACCGTAATAAATAGAGAAAATCTGACAAGGCAAAAATGTTCAGAATGTTGAGCCCTACCAATTGTCCATGTATGTCAAAACTGTCAGACAACTTCTTATAGGAGTTATTGCCCTTAAATGACAAATTTTACCGTTTTGTTTTCATTTTAGCCTATTATTTTGAAAACTATAATAGATAGAGAGAATCATGAAATTGCAAAAGTGATCAGCAAGACAAAATCTATAAGTAAGTCTGCATGATCGAAATCTTCAGTCACCTCCTTACTAGAGATTATGCCCTTTGATGACGCTTTTTTTGCAATTTTTTGCGTTTTTGTCTTATAACTTAAAAATCATAATAGATAGATATAAACTTAAATAAGCAAAAATGATCAGCAAGACAAGATCTACTGTTAAGACAATATGGAGGAATTCCTTCGACATCTTATTGAAGTTATTGCCCTTTAATGACGATTTTTACCATTTTTTTTTGCGTTTTGCCTTATATGATGAAAATTAAAATAGATAAATAGACACTTTAAATCACAAAAATGATCAGCAAGGCAAAATCTACTAACAAGTCAAATTTTGCCAATATAGTTAGTAGACTGTCACTCTTATAGGAGTGATTGCCTTTAAATGAGGAATTTTTTTACCCTCTTTAGTATTTTGAGCAAAAAGTAAAGAAGATAGAGAGAAACTAAACAGACTAAATGGTCAGCAATACAAGATCAACAAAACAGAGATTATTATCACGAATTCTATTCTCGTCTACAATGTTGGAGAGTGTCCTTTGTTGAATATGCACATAGACCAAGGTGAGCGACACAGGCTCTTTTAATAGAGTCTCTAGTTTTGTACATAGTATACAAAATATATATTCAGGTTTCAGAATGGTGTATAATGTGACTTCCAATCTGAGGTTTATGTTCCCAAACTTCTCTGAAACAAGCAACTAGATTTTCAGATATGGGGAGAGGGGGTGTATACATTTTTGAGATCTGATAAGGGTTTTTAAAGTTTCTTGCAAGAAAATCTTGGTACTTGTGCTGATTTAACTACAATACTAGTGACTAACTTTGAGGATAACAAAACAGTCTTACACATTGATTGATTGATTGTTGCTTGCTTATTTTCCAGTGGCAATTATTTCATGCATGTTTTGGACAAGAACAAATTAACAATAAATACAAAAGGTAGGTTCTGTAATAGAGGCCATCCAGGATGAAGGTAGCGGAAATTTGGACTGCCACTTGAAAATGAGGGTATATTAGATAGGGACAGCAATTTTGCCTTGCAACAGGCCACCTACTGACCCTTCAAATAGTTGTTGCAAGGATTCTTAACATGCAGAGAGCGTGGCACTCTCTTTACACAAGGCATCAGATTCCCAATTCTGACCAGGTGCCACACTTTGGCAATGGTTTTACTATTTCGGAAGAAGACCAAAGTGACCATATTTCTATTCCCAAGTCACCCTTTGGGGCAGAGGAAATACATGATGTTGTTGTCTTGTTAGCAATATAAGTTGTGGTAAGCAATGCAAGATTAAGATTATAATTTTTCCACAAACAAAAAGAAAATGGCATTTAAATCTTCACTTAATGTTAGCAACTATCATACTTATAGATCAACAATAAACATACTGTTTAGTAAGCTTTAAAAGGCATGGATATTACAAAAAGAAAACAATTCAAATGAGAAGACTAAATGGCTGATTCATGATAGTACAAAAATGATCACCAGATATGACAGCCAGCAACCAACAACCACTGAACTACAGGCCCCATAGACTACATGTAGCTTATTTTTTTAAGAGTGAAATTAATCAATGTAAACATAATTCACAAACTTATTATTATTCAGTGATTCAATAAGTATAAATCTGTGCACACAAGAATAGACAACAGTAGTTATACAATGTAGTTATTAGTTCATTATGAATCTTTATGGTAAACTATTTTTAAATATATAGACTTGATTAGTAGAAGGCTTACATATTTAGAAAATATATAAACACAATAACTATAACTGCATTTAAAACATTTTGGTAATTTTGTCACAAAGTACAAATGTTGTATTCATATAAACATTTAATAGTCATTGACATTTACTAAAATGGAAAGGTCATATTTTCATCAAGATCATATATTTGAATATAAATCTGTAAGACTGTTACCACCATAATTCTTCATCTTTTATATAGATCTATTAAAAATAAGAACCTTTTTAATTACAAAAAATGCATCAGTCTTATCAAATGGTCGAAACCAAGAAAAAAATTACAGGGAGATAATCAAAGAGTTCCCATCACAAAACTTCCAAGCATCACCAAATTTTGATCATCTATTTCAGAATCTGATAGTCTGATCATGCAAACTACAGTATTTAAATAAATCATGTGTGTAAAAAAAAACTTTGAATTGTTACTTTCAGATGTGCATTTCATACAACAGCTGCCATTAAAACACAGCATACAAAAGGAACATACAGATATGTTCCTATTTTGATTCCACAAGAAAAGATAGGAAATAATCCTTTGAAAGCTTTGAAATGTCATAGAACTGGAGGAAGAGGACCTGATGGTAAGTACTGATTTGAAATTGGATAGGACACTGTTGATCAGATGGTAATTATATATAAGCCACTGTTAGTATAGAGTTCGTTATCTTCTTGAACATGTTGAATGTCATGGAAAAGAAGGACTGGTAAAATGTTACTAGACCAAATACTGTAAATTCAAAAATGTTTGTAATGTTTTTATTATTGCAAAAATTGCGATAAATAGGTGTTGCAAAATAGAACCTCTCTTTTTAAATTGTGATTGCATTATTTGTATGCAGCATTTCCTGAAATAGCAATATTAAAATTCGCATTTGTGCTGATTGTCCAAAAATTGCTATAATAAATGCAAAAATTTCAGATTTTACAGTAACTACATCATGATTTTGTTAAAGGGTATTTCCAACTACCCAGTACTTTTTATACGACCGCAAAAAATTTTTGCGGTCGTATATTGGTATGACTTTGGCGTCGTCGTCGTCATCGTCCGAAGACACATTGGTTTTCGCACTCTAACTTTAGTTTAAGTGAATGGATCTCTTTGAAATTTTACCATAAGGTTAAATACCACAAAAGGAAGGTGGATATTGATTTTGGGGGTTATGGTACCAACAGTTAAGGAATTAGGGGCCAAAAATAAGCATTTTCTAGTTTCCAGACAATAACTGTGGAACGGTGTATGGATCTCTCTGAAATTATACTACAAGTTTCCATACCACAAAGGGATGGTTAGGATTTGCTTTGGGGGGTTATGGCTCAAACCGTTTAGGAATTAGGGGCAAAAAAGGGGGAAAATCAAGGTTGTCCTGGTTAATGGACAAATACTTTAGTACAAAACATAATTTAAAGCAGTGTAAGGGAGATAAATCAAATACATCATTGAAATTATCTCCCTTACACTGCTTTTAAATTATGTATAAAGTAATGGTTAATGATTTAAAACAGTGTAAGGGAGGTAATCCAAATACAATGTTTTGGTTACTTCCCTTACACTGCTTTTAAATTATGTTTAAAGAAATGCATATTTATAAAGGAAGACCAGTAA